AATAATAATAATAATAATAATAAAAGTTCAACTTGATTGAAAGCCATGACTTGTGACTTAAAACTACTACTCTTCCCTCATGGGGAGATATTATTTAGGGTTGAAAAAGACTGTATGTTTATAGTTTAAAGGTACTTAGCCCCATAATAAAAACAGAACAACCAGGCACAGAGAAGTCCTGCATAGAGATAATCTTAATGATAAGAGACGTTATAGGTCCCTGCTGTTGTGTCACTGTAGCAAAAATAAAACATGAATCCTAGAAACCTGTGCAGATATCACAAGTTTAGGATGTAGTGTAAACATTTTAAAGCTTTTCAGTTGCAATTACAAAACTACTACTATAAAATTAGTACATCAGCCTAGTTTATTGGACCAGTGGTGGTATTTCAGAATAAAGTTAAAATTTGTAATGGTTCAGATAAATCCTGGCTAGCATCAATCTTTGATAATGAACTAGTTAATCACCACATGGATCCATTAATGATTTCAGTCCTAGCTGCTGTGTGATCCAGTCCAAATGTAAATCAAAACCAGATGGATTCTAGTAAAACCTTTTAATTAGGCAAGTAAAGGAAAATAAAACATTCAAAGTAAAGATTTGTTTTTGCATTAATGCAAATTTCAGGTGTGATAGCTTCCAAACATAAGTTCTGTAAATCTGAAATATGATATATTATCTGAATCTAGATGACAGAGATTTGTAAAGGAAAAAGTCATGTGCCAATTGATTTGGGCATAACTGACATATGAAGACTCTGTCCAGAATCCTACTGATGTACACGTGGTTTGCCATGGCTAATGAATTGGTAAGGTGTATGGGTACATGTTGGTCACACAGCTGGTCACATGATCAGGCACATCACTGAAAAACTTTGGAACTTCATTAATTGGCTGCAATGTCCTGCAGCAAGTTATGTAAACTACATATGAATGCCAATAAGATTCTAGCCGTTGTAAAAAAAAACCTACAGTTCCTTATGTAGCTTACATTGGAATTATTACCAACATGAGACTCTAGAAGTCAGTTCTCTGAATTATTAGACAATATTTGTTTTCTAGTATTAAGCAGAACTACTATATGCAACCCCTTCATAGACTGCTCCCTTGTTGTGGCGAAGGGGCTTGAGTATCAGATGATACCACTCTGATGGCAGAAAGTGAGGAGGATTTAAAGAACCTCTTAATGAGGGTGAAAGAGGAGAGTGCAAAAAATTGTCTGAAGCTCAACATCAAAAACGCTAAGATCATGGCCACTGGTCCCATCAGCTCCTGGGAAATAGAAAGGGAAGATATGGAGGCAGTAACAAATTTTACCTTCTTGGGGTCCATGATAACTGCAGATGGTGACAGCAGCCAGAAAATTAAAAAGATATCTGCTTCTTGGGAGGAAAGTGATGACAAACCTAGACAGCATCTTAAAAAGCAGAGACATCCCCTTGTTGACAAAGGTCTGCATAGTCAAAGCTATGGTTTTTCCAGTAGCCATATATGAAAGTGAGAGCTGGACCCTAAAGAAGGCTGACCACCGAAAAATTGATGCTTTTGAATTGTGGTTCTGGAGGAGACTCTTGAGAGTCCCCTGGACTACTGCAAAGAGATCAAACATATCCATTTTGAAGGAAATCAACCCCGCATGCTCACTGGAAGGACAGATTCTGAAGCTGAGGCTCCAATACTTTGGTCATCTGATGAGAAGACTCCCTGAAAAAGACCCTAATGTTGGGAAAGTGTGAGGGCAAGAGGAGAAGGGGACGACAGAGGATGAGATGGTTGGACAGTGTCACCAAAGCTACCAACATGAATTTGACCAAACTCTGGGGGGCAGGGGAAGACAGGAGGGCCTGGCATGCTCTGGTCCATGGGGTCACAAAGAGTCGGACATGATTTAACGACTGAACAATAACACTATAGGCAAAATTGTCAGCCTTATCTATTCAATCTATATGCAAAATATCTCATATAGAAAGCCAGACTAGATTCAAATGGAGGAGAAGTAAAAATTGGAGAAAGAAATGTCAGTAATTTAAGATATGCAACCTTATGGAAGAAAGCAATGATTTGAAATAACTTTTAGGGAATGTGAAAGAAAGAAGTACCAAAGCAGAACTGCAGTTGATATTTAAGAAGACAGAAATCCTTACTATAGAAGAACTGTGCAACTGTAACATTGACAATGAAGAAATTAAAACTGTTAAAGATTTTGTATGCCTTGGCTCAAACATCAATCCAGATGGAGACAATGAAGGAAATAGAAAACATCTTCAAGTGTAAGAATGTGTCACTGGAGATCAAGATCATCCACACTCTTTGTTGTATTCCTTATCTCCATGTTTGGACAGACTCCCTAAAGAAGGAAGCAAGCTTGAGTGTGCAAGAGCTGAGCAGGGCAGTTCAGGGCAGGAAATTTTGAAGATTACTTATTCATAGAGTTGGCAACAATGCAGAAAGAAAAGAAAGTTGGGTTATTGAATGACATCAGAAAGGTGAACTTATAACGTGATCCTTTTAATTTTAAAAATATAGAGAATAAAAGTTCGCAAAAGTTTGTCCAAACATCTCATACCTTTAACAGTAGTATTGATTTCAGAATTTTAGCCAGCCTAAGACTGGAATCTTATAGTGGTGTAAACAACCTACACATTTCATAAGGGAAGGGCTTCTTCCCTCCACCTCTGTCCACTGGAAGGAAGGGATTTTATACCCTCACAGTATCTGTTCTCCAGTCCTAGTTATCTTTCTACAATACTGTACACTGTTCAAGAAGGTGAGTACACAACACCCATCCTTTTTGTCTCAGTAGACACCTTCAATATTCTGGTGGTTCTGAAAGCTACAGGGCAAAAATACTTCCAGGACATTTGGGGAGGTATTAAATTTTCATCTATCAATTAATAAACTTTGGCATATTTGGGGAGTTTCCCTTGATGCAAAGCAAGGCATTATTTTTCAGTGTCATACTGATGAAGACCATCTTGTCAGTACCAGAGGATGTTGATCAAGTTCAGTACTAGAAGATAGCAAAGACTAACAACAAAATGTTGCATTGTACCTCCTGACCCCTAACGAGGGCTTCTTTGTAGGTCCCAACCACCCTAGAATAGCAACTGTCTAGTGCTGATCATGCCAGAGCTGGTAGACATAATGTTTTAACTATAGAATGAATCCCCAGCCAGCATGTTCAGAGATAGTCCTGACAGGAGAGATTTGGTAAAGTTCTAAAAAGCACTTTTTTACAAGCCTGGGCATGGCTCAATATGGTGATGATAAGGTTCTGAAGGATACCATGGTCAAACATCTCAAGAGGTTGTTGAGCAGTATATTTATTTTTGTTTGATTGTGTGTGTTTATATTCCATCTTCCCTCCTTCCTGTAATTTCAAGGTAGCATAAATGGTTCTACTTCGCAGACCTTATTCGGGGGTGGGAGGTGGGGAGGAGTACAGGCTAAGAGACTGTGACTGGCCTAAAGTAACCCAATAAATTTCATGACCAAGTGAGGGTGGGGGGCAACTGCAGTGGCCATTTACCCTACAATTCACATCAGATGCAGCACATATGAAATGAAGTAAGAACTAGTGACTACATATTGAAAGCTCAATCTAGGGAAGCCCTAGGCAGGGGATCATCTTGAGAGGTTCCAATAGGCTCCACCTGGCTGGCATCCCTTTTCTCTATGTGTCTGATCATCTGATCTGAAGGCAAAGGAGTGCTCCTGTTGTCTCCAAACTTCCTATTTTGGCCTGTGTGTGTGCTGCAACAGGCTATCACTAGGTCACTTAGCAAAAGTAAATTATAAAAAATGTGGAAATTGCCAAATAGCACCTCATCAGATTAAAAGCAGTTTTTGTTTCTGCCAATGGAGCTCTGTGCAAACACAGATCCAAATTTCAAAAACTGGTCATAGTAGATCAACATGTATTTTTCCCAGCTGTGTAATTGCAGTGCAGGAGTCTAGACCCAGGTCTCCTCCATT